CAAAAACACCTAATATCAATTATAATAATTGATTTGGTACATGGAAATATTACACATTGTTCACAATTCCAACTTTCTCTAGTTTATAAAATATTTTATCCCTTCGATATTATTATCAAATATAAATTAATTTAGAACTTATCATTTAGACATTTTTATTATGATATGATTATTTTTTTTATATTTTAAAAATGTTAAATATTTATTAAATATGTAAATTAAAAAAAAATATATTCTAGAAAGTAATAAGACTTAGGAAAATGCCTGTTTTTCTTATCACATACTGAATTATATATAGTATACAATATATAGATACATCGTCATTATCTGTACGTCACTACTTAAAAGTAGATTGGTAGTCAAACTCGCAAAGTAAGATAAAGTCGTGTGCTTTCAATATTTTATTTTAAAAAATTTAACCGTACTTAAACGAGATATTTTTCGTTTGGAAATTAAACAAGTCTTCCTTTTTATTTGACCCTAATGCACTTTTATTCAACCATTTATAAAATGTACATAAGTACGGATTAAAATCTGGTCCATTTATTCAATTTACAATATCAATTGAAGATGATTATATCAATCACTTAAAAACGATAACATAACTTTAAACACTCATTCGAATGACTCAGACAATCACTGGTCAAATGACTTAAATTTAGTTATACAATGCACCTAATAATTAAACGATTTGGAATTATTAATTACAAGAAATTATTTTGAAATTTATTTATCATAAATATGTTGAAAATTGCACTTAAATTGGTTGGAATATATTATTATCATCTATATTTTATGGATTTATTTATCGTTTAAATAAGCAAAAAAATAAAAACAATAAATATGAAAATTCATTATTATAAAAAAAATATTTTAATATTGCCGCCTTCAGGTAATATATTAGCTCCTATGTAATTGATTTAAAAAATATTAATTTTCTAACCTACAGTTAATGATGACTTTCAAATTCTGGGACATACTGCAGTATAATTTGAAACATCAATATTCATTGTATTCAATAGAAATAAAATATTCCAGTTGTGTTTCAAAACCTCTACTACTTAAGGCATACTACCGGTTTCTTTTCAATGTAGATTGTCTATTGAATACTATTTTGATATTTATTTTACATTCGTAATTTATAAAGTTTGTTTTTGTATTTGCTAACCATAATACTTAAAATGTATTCTTAAATAATTTTAATGAATCTAAATCGAATAACTTAAACTTATAAAATACCCGATGACAGTATAAACTATAAGTATCTAATAAATAATATTTACAAATTTTCTTTTCTAATAATTTTACATATAATTATTTATTCATTTAACCTTATTCAAAAATATCTACATTTTAGTTATTTTCTATACTTATATAATATTAACCAAAAGTAAATAGAAATCAGATTACAATGTAAGTCTTAAATATTTTATGATACACAAGAATACTAAAAAAAATGTGAATAAGAATTTTAAGCAACTTCTTTAACTCCAACACATCCAGTTATCATTGAATTTGATTTATATTTTATAATATTCACAAATATTATAATAAAATAATATTATGATACGTATTGTGATAGGGTACAATAATGTTTTGCTAAAAGACCAAAATTTAAAATACTAAACAACACATGTACAATTTGGTAGCCTAGGAAGTATTTACTTTTTATTTTTTATCAATTCAGAATAACAAAAAATGTAAATGGTTTTCTGTTAATCAAGACATGAAATATAATATTATATTGTTATCTTAATAATAATCGTATATTTTATATGAATACATTACCATCCGTTACATCATTGCATGTATATTTTAAAAATTACGCGCTAAAATAAAGTATATAGCAGTCTGCAGTCATACTTCTCAATATTTCATCAATATAATAAAAATCATTGTGCGTCTATGATTTAAAATAATGTCATGTGCAATTATTTTTTATTGTACTAAGCGTAATAAAATTGTTCAATAATAAATAACGATAATAATTAAGTGTGATTTTTTTTTCAACGTCAGAGTGAGTAAGGTAAAAACCGTACGCATACACTTACTCGACTCTTAATATCTTATTTATTTAATTATTATTAAAATCTTAGTATTTGTACATGTATGTGTACAATTTGCTGGTATCGAGGAATGCAATAATTGTGTTAGCAAAACTCGCAAATTTTTCTAATTGTTATCCACGATTTAACGTGTGAAATTGAAACCAGATCGTTTGAATTAAAATACCGTTGTCGGGTTTATCCAATAGTAGGTATATACGAATTATTAAGAACAAAATCTTATATACTATATTATTGTACTATGCGCGGTGTATCAAATTGAATGTTGACATATTATTATACATTTATCTCGTCCAACAAGTTCTAGATAGGGCAAAATCGATAAAGGTATAATAATTTAATAGTATACCAACTACAACTATTATACAAATATACAATAATATATTGTATTTATCGCAATAAAATAAAATATTAACAATGATTTCTTTTTCTCACAGTGTGTATGTGAAAAGAAATCAAAATAATGTTTAATTGCATATGAATGAATACCGTTCGACATTTTTCGTGTTTGTTTAGTCTAACGATTTCCCGCGATTCTGGACAATTTGATTCAAACACGACCATTAAAATGTATATTATTATTATTATTTTATTTAATCGATATTACTGCACATTTAATGAGTTAATCGTCGTTTATCTTCTTATCGTTTATATTTAATTGATGTTTACATTAAATTACACGATCGACTTGTTGAATTAAAACATAAATACATAATGTATTGTAATGACATTATTTTAAAATTAAAATTAATATGATTGATAAATCATGAAGTTTTTTTAGTGTAACTTTCAAAACAAAACACTTAAAAATAATTATAACTTTTTAGGTCAATAAAAAGTTTAATATTAAAATTGATTCACATACGATTATTTATTATGAACTATTATTAATGAGTAAAAAATACGGGCAAAGGTTGGTGATGTAAATACTTGTTTTATGTTTAAATTAATTGATATAATATTATATTATATAATAATTCTGACCTATATGCGAAGAATCGTATTTTGTTCTGTAACTAAACGAACAACTTGTTGATAAAAACAACAAAATCGACAGGTTTTCATCTTGGTCAACAAAATAAGATCATTTGATAAAAACCACTAGCAAGCGTATTCTTTATTTTACATTTTTACACTATAAATATTATAATACCGAATAATAATTTGGCCAAGAGTCAGAGTTTAGTGTATTTACCTACCTTATGCCTTCTACCTACTTAATATTTTATCTATATACATTATATACCGTTTACCAAACCCACATGTTATTCAACAAATTTTTAGAGTATTTCCTTTTTTAGTTATTTTGCTTTGAAGTCGTATCTCAGAGTTGTAATTTCCCATAAGCAATCGCTTCAATTATTATTTTCTTTTAGAAAAAAAAGAACTAACATAATTATAAATAGCACAATTATTATTGTATTCAAAAATACTATTACAAAGCTATATACTTGGTCATAGATTAGTGAATCAATAAAGCGTTGATATTATAATACGTTGGTAGTAAAATAGATTACTTTAATAATCACTCAAAAGATTGAGTATGAATAATTCAATATATAACTTTAAATAAAAATATAATTTATTTTAACCACAAAAAAATATATTTTAAAAATAAATTTTTTAGTATACATTATTGTACATATTTATTAATTTATTGAAAGTATAACTACCTAATGAGAACTTTTTCAAATAGCTCATCAATAAATAAGCATACCGCATACGTATAAGAAAATAAAAAACAGTGCAGCTTTTAAAAACTAAATTTAAAAGTTTTACTCGCTTACAACAATTAAATATATAATAGTATAAAAAATTCTTACTTGACAGTTGTCTTCACAATATAATAATATGTTCCTCCAATTCGAAGATAATAATGAAAACATGCTTTTTAATCTCATAACCATTATACTATTATGCATTTATATTTGTAAACACGCAATTAACAACAACGTGCATATAGGTGGTGTTAAGTTGATATTTTGTAGAGATAAAGCTGAACTGAAAAAACAAACTATATTATTTTATAGAAAAATTTTAAAAGTAATTAGAAAATGAAAGTTAATTATATGAATTTGATTTCAAACAATAAAGAATATACTTAGTACAATAATATCACATAAAAATTTTCATTTTGATTAAAATTGTATTATTGCTTAATTAAAAAAATCAAATATTGACACAAATAAATAGTCTTATTAAGGCTATATTTAGCTTTTGATAAAATCGTAAATATGGTAAATTCAATCTAACTATGCGGGTTTATTATTGTAGTTTAGAAAATTGTCACGTTATCATTGTATACTATAATGACTTAAGTAGTAGTCATACGATACTCACTCATTAAAAAAAAAAAAAAACAACTATTATAATCATTACGCTTTATGTTTTATTTTTAATAAATTTAAAAAAAGCAATATTAAACAAAAATTGTATGTGTTAGCCAAGTACCTAATAATGCGTAGTAAATTATTTATTCAACCTATGATAGTTGAATAATTACTAAAAATAGAAAAGTACTAAGTACCTCCTAAACAAATTTTCAAGCAAAATAATATTTTGAAATAATGTATAAATTGAATTAATTAATAAATCACCGTAAGGACAATGCTTCTAAATTAACCATAATAAGTCATTAAATTGACTTCCTGCAACTGGCTGTGTTTGGTTCATTATTTTTATTTACAGAAAGTTCATAAATACTTAACGAGCAAAATATGCTTCTACTAGTTATTTATCTATTTATTGTGTATTTCATATGAATTGATTTCCATATTTAGATAGTTAAGTAACAAGAATATTTTTTTTCCATTTAACTATTAAACTCTTAACTACGTGTCTTATCGAAACTTACACAATATTAAAAATTATATAATATAAGAAAAATGTACCTTTATATTACTAATTTTTCATTGTATTTTTTACACAACTACTATGAAGTCCACACAATATTTGAACAAGTCTCAAACAGCTCTAGTGAAACAATCATGGCCCATGATAACTTCAAATAACTTTTGGACTACATTTTATATTAAGTATGCAAAAGTGTTCTATACTTTCTAATTTTATTTTAAATACACATATATGGATTTTTTTATACATACATAAACTTTTTTTTTGCGAAGTCTATTCAAGAGAAATCCATTATATCAATTACAATTCGATCGTTTCGCTAATGTTCCATTTGAAGAGCTTGAATCAAATGTTCACTTTTTGGCTCACTCTTTTAGGACTGGATTTGCGTTTAATACTGCTATTGAACACTTGGAAAAACCCGATGAGTTACACAGAATCCTTATGGATTTAGGAGAAAAACATCGCAAGTTTCGTCTTACAGCCGAACATTTTGAGGTAAATAATAACCAAAAAAATCTAATACTGTAATCTATTGGTTCGATCTTTTAATTCTGGTTATTATTCGTGCATTGTTTGATGATTTCGCTGACAATAATGAGTATTATATATAATATGCTAATTATAATAATTTATAATGTTGCAACTATGAACTACAATCATCTGATATATTAAAAAATATATAGATTTTATTAAACGAAATAATCGATTGAGTTGTATAATAATTTATGCGTGATAGTTTTAAAAATTATCTTCAATAATCAATTATACAAATTATTACTTATTGCATTTTTACTTAATTCTCAATAAATCATAATGCTAGTTTACATTTAATTATATCAATACTTCAACAAAGAAACAAATAATTAAGTATGCAAAAAACTGATAATTATTAAAATTAAATATACAAAATGTGGGAGTATTATAATGATTTACATTTATGTTAATTCGCGTCACTTTAGTGTAATGATGTGGACTGAATATATTTTCATTGGTCCAGTGATTAAATAATAATTATGAACAGTTAAATTATTTTAGCAACGTTAAATTCACACTATATAATATTATTATAATCAGTATACAAATATTACTAACGATAGATTTGTTTTTTATTCCTACATCCCACTACTAGTTAAGTATAAATGTATAATCGTACAAGAATTAACTAGGATTATCTAGGGTCTACATTTAGTTGAGTGAGGTTAGCCTGCCGCTAGAACTATAATACTAATTTTAAGTTGATATGATATTTTGACCTCATGTATTATTATCGCTTTTAATATATTTTTAATGATAGAAACAATTCATAATATAACCAGAAAACCCCGATAGAATACGGTTGTAATGCAATATAAAGAAACCTCATATTGATATATAAGTTAGAAGACTAAAAACCGTGAATAATTAGGGTAACATTATAGTACAGGTACATTCTGTTCGATCGCACCGTAAAAAACGTGATAAAATTAACGAAAGAAGATTCAAAAGTGTATGGGTATCGTAAATTTTAACGAGTCATAGAAACGCATTGAAATTATATAACTGTGTACAACTTGTAGAGTATATATTTATATATAGTCTATTCTCTACACATAAAGACGTGTCAAATGGTCTAACGGAAGCCTGATCGAACGTGCTACAGTAGTGGATACCTAGTTAAGTTAGGTAAGTATGATGTATATAATATACTATATACATTTTATGACTAGGTATATAAAAATATGTATGCAATAGACACTCGAGTGCATAAAAATATATTGCGGTTGGGACTGTTCTAAAAAAAAGTCTGGAATAATAGAATATTGCGTATATTATTAATGATATAATATAATACAATTGGTAATGATTTTTTCCCTTATATCGACAGTTTGACTCTCTTCATGTCGCTCTATACAATAATAATAATAATAATACCATAGTATCATAATATCTCGCATTTTATTGCCATACCTACAAGTGGAAACGTGTCATATCAGGTGATTCTTTCAACAGTTATCAAGCGTTTTTGAATACACGAAAACCTTTCTTTTTTTTTCTTGTCATACAAGATATTTTATATAAACATTAAATATCGAACCAATAGTTGATAAGTAGTAACTTTTTATAAGTAATTAAAAATTAACAAAACATGTTCAATAATAAGTATAAATGTACTAAAAAATGACCGATTCGTGGTAAAATAATCACCTTGAATATTAAAATATATTATATCGTTAAGTAACATCATTGTATCGTACATCGTACAAAACGCTCTTGTTATTATAATTTATATATGTTTGGCAGGCCGTCAAAGACATACTGTTATGTATGATTGAGGACCGCATAGTGCTGACAGACGTACCTGCCAGAAACATACTTCTAGTGGAGGCGTGGAAACCGTGCATAACCTTGGTGATTGGAGTGATCATGGATTCCGCGACCGTCACGGTTAATTAAATCGCGATTTATACACCGACGACGACGACGATGACGATAATATCATTATCATGGTAGACAGTGTATAATAAACGTTTACAGACATATTCGCTTAAACACACTTAAATTTATAATAAACAGTAACACATTCATGTAATATATATATATTATATATTATCTAACCTAAATTGACATCCTGGTGGAGGCGGAAACGACCCAATTTCGAGACTTCGTCGCACTGCTTGCGCACACTGTGACCGTCAGCGCGTACAATATACATACAGTTCGAGTTATTAACCGACTAATTATCGTTTATATACAAATCAAGGTATCATCATCGTATCGTTTCGGAATGACTGGCAACTGTGCACTGTTGCAGGAAAGGGCGTAGGTACCTATTTAATCGTAGCCATGCAGGTTCCCACATATATATATATATATATATATATATATATATTTATTTATTTAAAAAGCGATGTATACACACAATAAATATGTATGTAATGTAAATATTTAGACAGGAAAAGCTGCGGTGACATACACATAATATTATACTAACATCTTATACGTATTATTATACAGAGTGATTTACCTAACATATTAACCCCTCTCCTCCAAATTTATCCGTTTGTTATATGCATTTAATCAAACTCAAGTTTTTGAAGCTTTTAAGTATATTCAAATATTAAGGACAATAAAATTTCAAATACATTATTTATTCTTCATTCAGATTATCTTGTGGTATTAAAGACTTTTTTATTCAAATGAAATCACTCTTCTCAGTAAAAAGTTATAAAAATAGATGATTATTTTGAAAATATTGATAAAGTATCTATATTTAAATTCATATAACTATTAGAGACTACATTATTATTTATTAGGATAATAATTAATATTTTATACTACAGTGATTTAAAAATATAGGAATAAATATTAGTCTATTAGTAGTTAGTAGTTTAATATCAATTTTTTTATTTATATAAATTGCTGAGTGTACTAAATACTAAACTGAATATTATAACTGTTTGATATTTTATACATATAAGTATATAACTATAATCAAGTATCTTAAAAATTTGAAGATATTTGTATCGTTAACTATATAATACATTATCTTAATAGTTCATAAGGTATAAAACTTAAAAAATATTTGTTTAAATTTTTATTTAATTACTTATATAAAAATTTAAAAAATGTATTGACACAAAACTCCTTAAACAATATAAAATATATAAGTAAAAATTTTAAAATATTATCCTTAACCGTTTACTTGAATATTCCGAAAATCAAAACTTAAATAAATGTCAACTTATATAGTCAAAGTATAAAAGGAGGGCAATCACTTTGATTAGAAAATCACTATTACAATATAAATCACTCTATACTTCGATATATTTTTTTTTCGTTTAAAGACAATAACTAAATCAGCAAAACTTCATACTGATGATTTTAAAATATACTATACAATTTCTTACCTTGCATATCGCTCCGTATTACAAGACAAACTAAATAGATTTTCAGAATGGTGCACTCTAAATGATCTTAGTTTAAATGTTTCCAAATGTTCCAAAATCTCATTTTTCCGTAATAAAAATAAAATCCAATATATTTACTCTATTGAAAATAACCATCTACCTGAACTAAATATCATACATGACCTTGGTATAATCTTTCAGTCAAATTTTCTTTTTTCTACTCATATTGAGCACGTATGCCTAAAAGCAATAAAGTTTCTTATTTAGACCAACCAAATCCTTTCAAAATGAACAATGCCTAACAGTCCTCTATTGCTCCCTAGTCCGCTGTATTGGAATATGGATCCATTTTATAGAATCCAAATACCATCAACAATATTGAGAGACTAGAGAGGATACAAAGAAAATTCATACACTTTATTAGATACAAAAAAAAAAAAATAGATAATGCTCTCGATAATCCTACCATTAACAATCTCCAGCTAATTCCAAAACTAGATTCCCTACCAAACCGCCGCAAAATAGCAGACATCTCTTTCTTACACAAGTTATTAAATGGACACATATCCTATTCCCCACTGTTAAAACATATCCAACATATATATTTAAAAACTCACCGCACAAATTATGGACAATACAATCCTTTAAATCGGATCCTTACTGAAGGAAATTTATCAAAACTGGATATTTTTTTTTAATAGTCTATTAGACCTTAAACATTATTACTCTAATTTTTGATTTCCAATGTAAATTTAAACGTATATAAGTATTAATATTATATAACTAAATACATATGTATATTATTATATATTTTAATTTAATTTATTTGTTGTATCATAACTATGTTTATAATGTATAACATTTCTGTACTTAAGCCTATCAGGCGTTAATTCAATAAATAATAATAAATGCAATACAATAATATATACTACCTAAGTGAGTGTTGTAGTCTCGAAATTCATTATTTGTACAACAAGGTCACCATCAGAAGCAGCGACGAATAACTGTACAGGAACCCGTTCGCACAACCACTAGCCTATACACTACAATATAGTATTATATTTGATACGTGCACTGCTGAAACTCTAGATTTTTATTAATAATATATTATTATGTGTACTGGCGTAAATATTATACTCACGCGTCATCCGTATACTGTTACAATATATTATAATAACGATAATAACAATTAAATGAAACATATTTTGAAAACCATACACGTACATGCCTACTGTATACTTGCTACATACAGGGTATCTAAACGTACAAGTTTGTCCTCACACCCACGACAAATCCTAGCGATATAATCTACTTCTATATTAATACTATGTCTAAACTTAGAAATATACATAAAATTTTAATTTAATTTTATTATATTGTAATATAAACAGGATTTTGGCCTTATTAATAACGTAGATATTTATTTATTATGAACGAGTTTGAAAGTTGAAACATTTTAAAAACATTTTATAAACAATTACATAATAACAATAACTAATAATACTTGTAAAAGATTAGAAAATTAAATTAAACATTTTTAAAATTATAATAAGTATAGTAGAATAAAATCATTAAGCTAGATTAATATTAATAAATTGACATATAAATGGTATATTTGGAGATCGATAGAGGAATCCTTATTGGCTATTAACATTAAACATCTATTAAGCTCATTTTTCATATAAATGCTTTAAAATAAAGCGACATAAATCGGAATAATAAAATGGAGTTGATGAGTGGGAACTTTGAATTTGATTAGCGATGGTAAATCATATGAATCGACTTAGCCAAACAGGCAGACAGCAATATCATTAAAAACTTTACGCAAAGCAATAGCCTGCGATCGACTAAAGATAAAAACCCTAACTTAATAGCAATAGAATAATCATGTGAATTGTGGATGATGTTCGATGTCTAATAAGAAACCAGCAAAACAAAGGAACCAGTGTTGGACTCTTTCAACTTTAAGAATCATTAGCAGTATGTGGACACTAGACAACTACACCATATTTTAATATAGGTCGAACTAAAATACAATATAGTAGTTTAAATGACGAATCTAATTTATTTAGAACCAAGATCAATTACAAATTTAACAAAACCTAAAATATTATAGGAGTAAATTATTGCCAAACGACTACGTGTGAAAGTTAGAACTTAAATGCATGTATTGATAAGATTAAAGTGTACATAAGAAATATTAAATGATAAAAATAAACGATAGATAAATAAAAAAAATAAAAATAGGTTCTCAATTTTGAGGCATATAAGACGTTAAAGGGAAGAATTATTTATATATTAAAGTTAGTACAGATTTAGTCGAGTAAAGAATAAGGAATTGTATTTAAGTGATTCACTAAAATGAGTAATATATACCATTTAAATATTTAGATGAAATAACTCATTGAGAAATTGCAGGTAATCGAAACTCAAAAATAATTATTTAAAATTTTTTTTGCACTAAATAATGTAATAATTAAACTGTGGATCGTTAATATAAGGTCTGATCACTCAAAAAAAAAAAAAACGTGCAAACCTATACACTTTGAGCTTTGAGGACAATGAACACCCTGTATAGTATATACTTACCTAATGTAAATACCATATTTACATGTATGTGCGTCCAATGAACTTAATGCGAACGCCAATGTCTCGATCATCGCACCGTAATAAGTCTAATAACATAATAAAATCGTAGACACACATGACGTAATACTTTAATATTAATCGTACCCATGTTGAGAACCACATCTAGTACAGATAGCCGATAAATACCTGTTAAATATTTGCGTTTATATCAGATATGGGAAAAAGATGAAAATATTTAGTTAACAACATTTTTTCGGGCGATGTTTTCTAGTACTATTACTTATTAGTTTTATCTCACGAAGCCGTTGACCAAAAAAATAAAAATATAAATAATATATTTATGTTTACAATATGAACATGTACTTATATATATTTATGCATTTATGCATTTTATTAGTAGATTTTATCCCATCAACTAATTTGTTAATTACGCTCCTTCGTTTCGAAATGGAATACAATATGATACTTTACTACTGTTTCAACAGATATTAAAGTTTAAAGAAACATTAATAAAAAAAGCAATCTTAGATGTTATAATACTACATGCATTAATTTCATAACTTATTGAAAGTTGCTTATCTAAAAAGTGTATTACTTTATTCAACAAACCAAAATCAAAATTTAACATAAAATATTTTTTCCTTACTTATACGTATAAAATATAAGAAGTACTAAGTATACATAAAATACAAATATATAAGATCACTTTAACATTTACTAACGTAGAATACTTAATATTTTATAAATATTTTTGACATGAGAATATTGTAAATATTAATCAACAAAAAATAATACATTCTATAAAATGTTCTCTAAATTGATAGTTTAAAAAATATAAAAACATTGATAGCAATAGCTATTTGAAAATAAAAATTATTTCTTAAGACTGAAAACAATATTAATTTTTTATTTTCAACTAAAACAAGACTTACATAAAAATATAACTGAAGAATATTTCACGATTCTTAACAACAACACGCATTTATTAACACGTTTTTTTTATCTATTCTAGAATAATATTTCCAGGATAAATTAATAAATCTAAATGTACCTTATAAATATATATTAATCATTATATCATCTTAATGGTGTTATTTTAACAAAAAAATTAGTTTTCTGAGTGAATTCGACAAAAAATCATTAAAAAATTTAAAGAACTGAATAAAAACTACATGTTAGGTAAATTATTAATGAATGTGCATTTATACTAAAATGTTGTGAAAATTAAAATTTTTGTTTTAATACAACATAATAACAAACAGTTCATATTTTTTATTTCTTTTACATATAATATAATTATATTATTATAAAACTGTT